AGAATGTTTTAAAGTATTGCAATTGTGATGTATTTTAATGTGTGATATGATGAGGCTGTTGACGAACTGTGGTTGTTTTTTAAATTAATGAAATTTTTTATAACTATCTGTTATTTTAGAAAAACTGATGATGGTGGAAAAATACACCGAAACGTATTTTAATTGATAAATAGGGACAATAAATGACTGAAACCCAGGAATTAATTTTGATTTGGAATTGATCTTAATGTTTTCATTTCGGTTGTTGTAAGTATTATTTTGGCTTCTGCTGATTCAGCTCTCGTTTCTATTGAATATGTTAGTATTGACCTTACACATGACTTATGTACCCCTATTTTGCCGTCCAGCCTCACATCTCTATCCCTCCAGCTAACACCCCTTGAACATCCTGGTACCTAAGCTGCTTTATTAGCCTGCTTTCGTAGACTTTCTTTTAGATCTCCGCAGATGGATATTTCTATTCCCAGATATTCGAACTTGGAAACTTCTTCGATTGCTTCTTCGTTAATTACGATTTTGCATCGTCTGGGATCCCTTGCTACTACGAGCGATTTGGTCTTAGATGTTGATATCTGCATATTGTAAATTTATGTCGTTGTTTTAAAGGTATGCACCAAGCACCATAGGTTATTTTCAGTATCCGAGATCAGAATTGCGTGGCCCACATACCAAAGAATTTTTATCTCTTTTCTCCCTAGCCCTTATCTGCGTCCTATCTGTTTTTTTTTCGATAGTTTTGTATTAATAAATTGAATAATAGTGGACATAAAACACTACCAAACATTAGAAAATTATTGTGCAACAGCATGCGTTACCAGAGATTAGTAGTCTCTGGCGTTACACACTTTGTTTTACAATTTGTGAGCCCTTTACAGCCCTTTACAACTAGTAATTTAGTCCAGTCCACCAATGTATCAAGAATCGCTTTAAAAAATGTCAAGAACAGATATTTGTTTGTAAATAGTCTATGATAATAAGCACAGTTCCATCCCGTCTCTACTCTATGAGCATTCATAAGATGCTTCACGTTTCAACAGCTAGAATAAGATGTGATAGGAAAATACAGAAAACATTTTTATGATTGCAACCCGTAGTTTCGAAAATACCGCGTGTCGAATCTACGAAAGTATTTTGATTAAATAAAAATTAATAGTTAATAACTTTTTAATAACAAACTACACTGCTAACAAAAAATTAATATTTTATCAAATAACTGAAAAAGGGGGTAGATATGTTGAACGCACAAGAGACAAGAAGGTTTCTCTAAGTGGGTTAAAAAAAAAGCTGCTAAAATTCTGTGGCGCACCTTAAAAAATATGTACCTCTCTGTACAATCGCAAAACGAGCCTGCCTTCCAAATGTGAAAAAATACTCAAAAAATACAAGACTTGAACCGGAAAACCAAAATAATCACTATAATTTCAACACCCTGTATCTCGGAAACCAAGAGTTTATCGGCATATGACTACATAAAATTATCTATTTATTTATTCTTTTCCGATTAACAAGAATTTCGTTTATCTCAAAAAGCTTAAAATATACAGTGAAAAATTTAATCGCTGAAGAAATTGGCCGTTTAATGATGGTCAATTACGCCAGCATGGCTTATCAGAAAGTTCATAATTTTGCAAACACAGTGACGAAATTTGGTATTCGTTTTGCGCTATTTTTCAACAAATCTGTAACTTAGAAACTTACAAATTGGCTTCGGTATAGTCCGTTAGAAGACTGATAGGGAAGTAATAAGATGCAAACATCACTTAGGATCAATTTTCGCAGATATTTGCAGAATTAGAGAAACGTTTACCCTCACAACTAGGTCTGAACGTAATAAACACAAAAAATAAATTAAACTTACTATTTTTGAGACATTTCATCGGCCTAATTTTTCGGTAATATGTTACAGTAAAATGTCGATAAACGGTCTAAATGTATTTGCGAAAAAGTAATAGAGCGTTAAAATAATAAGTTATGTGATAAATTAAATGACACTTAACACTAGTTAAAAATCAGATATCAGATATATATGAGTTAAATTACATATACAGCGCATCCTAAAATATCATCTTTATAATACATCGAGCGCTGTGTTTAGTATATCTTCCTGCGGCATTGATCACTGAAGAAGCAGGCGCTTTAACTTCTTTTTTCCATGTTTAACTGAAGATAAGTTGCACAAAAAGAAATCATTAAGAAACCTTGCGTTATTTTTTGTCGTAAGTACCCATTAGCTTCGGTACAATAATGCTAGTTTTTACACTCATTTCTCAAATGTTTTTATATATATTAAATCTGCAGCTGAAAAAAGTACGCTCTTTCACCTATTTGCGAGGCACTGGAGACTAAAAACATTTTTAATACATTTATTTATAACTAAGAATGTAGTCACTTGCAGCCACATAACGAAATTAATTGTCTTTTCATATTAAAATAATAATAAAATAACTTTCGAAATCAATTTGTGCAGAATTTCCGCATCTTCGATACAAAACGGAATTTTGAAAAATCAAAGAAGGATCTATTTCAGAATAGTTCAAAAATGAACTCCTTGAATCTCTATGGTAAGTTTAATAATAATACGCACAGTACATAATTTTTCCAGGAGTGTTTACGAAAGGTAATAAAACTAAAATTGAAATTGTAATACACATACAACTGTTTATTGAGACATATTAAACCATCAGTCATCTTGTTAAAATTATTGATACAAGTTGAATAACAATGCAGTGCACCGTTGAATCTGACTAATATTACCAAGAAACTACACATACAGGGCAGCACACGATACGATCGCCCATGTCTTTCTCACAGTGGTATGGTTTTGTGATTGTAGTAAATTGCAAAAAAAGTGTAACTATGTCATATCCTGTATCAGGCAAAAATAGTAAATATTAGCTACGTCACACTAAAACAAAAAATTATTAATTAGAATTAAATATGAAAGTTTACCGCTAACACAGGTGTCTGTGAATATCAGGCGAAAAGTAATAAAAGCAATAATATACGGACAATACAAACCAAAGTAAACATGATTAAAATATACTAGAATTGCAATTACTGAAGGTTTTAGCTGTTCTATCTGAAATTCCGGGCCACGTCTGGATTTATCTAAGCATTTACGGAAGGGGGTATCCGAAATATTTGCGGATTTTGTGGTTGAAATGTGGGGAGAAACAGAAGTACATGTCAGGACATCTTAGAATTACTGCTAAAATACGATCATCACAATGCAAAAATGCATCACCAAGATAAAATATATAAAATTATATCATACACAATAAAAAAAACACTCGTACTATCTTGAAAATACAGTGTCTTCAACCCACTATAATTTAAATAATTTGTTAGAGCCGTTCACTGTTAAATTATGTAGATATTTAAATCAGTTTCTAAATAATTACACAAATTTCGCAATGATTACTCTAATTGTT